TGTGAGTTAAAAATGGCTCACTATTTGGCAGGTATTGCATTAAAATCACCCTTTTATTCATGCATTTATAACTGCTTATCAATGATTTATAATGCATTTGTAAGTGAGTTATTTGTCATTTATTAACACCTTTATAAACCCTTTATAAAGGGAACCTTAATGTAAAGTGTTACCATAAAAACAAACGGTGTCAGTAAAATGGATGATAGGAATAGATATTAATAGATACTGTTTTGTGTTGTTTTGTTTTTTTCTTCAGAAAATGAATGGTGACAAAAAGGTAACACTCATGGGGGACCTTTTCAATTTTAGTGTCTTGGAGGACTTATACAATTACAGCTACATCTTGAATGGTGAAGGAACTGTGTGTGGTCAGGAGGCTAGCATGTACTTTGATTCCATTTTTATTCCGGTCCTTTACTCTCTGGCGCTGGTAGTGGGGCTGGTTGGAAATGGGCTGGTTCTGGTGGTACTGTGGAAGAAGAGGATGAGCTTGAATGTTACCGACGTCTTCATCCTCCATCTGTGCTTAGCAGACATTCTGCTGCTGCTAACGCTGCCCTTCTGGGCTGTAGAGGCAGTGAAGGGATGGATCTTCGACACAGTGCTCTGCAAGCTGACTGGAGCTCTGTTCAAGGTGGGCAAATATGTCTTTGGGTCAAGAATTGTTAGTGGCAGTTTTCATGGCTTTGTGTTGATTTCATGAAATTATTTGGTCCACTGCTTTTCCATTTCATTGTTTCATGCACATCTTCAGTGATTAAATTGCATGAACTACAATATTCTATAGAACAGACATTCATTGGGAGGTAAAGAAACATTCAGCTTGGTCAAATGGTGTTATGTAGAACCATAAGAGGATCCCCATTCTCCTCCTTAGATTTTAGATATGTTACTCCACTCTAATATGTTTGCTATGAATTGGAATTTACTACAATGGCAAAAGCTGTTTTGAAGCACTTTTATGCTTTTCTGAAGTCAAAAAGTCTTGTGTGGAAGCCCTGGAATATTTTGTGTGTCATTTTACACATAAAAGGTTAACAAGTGATTTTTTCCACGCTAAAACACATATTGGTTACATCTTGTGGCTATACTATTAAAACAATATTTTACTGAGATTTTACTGATCGGCTCCATTCACTTCCATTGTTCCTCAGTGTAACCCAGATTTTTTTTTTAAGAAATTGAAAATATTTTTTTTGTGTTAAATTACATTATACCACAAATGCTGTTGAATAAAATGAGCTTGTACCAGGAATATTTCTTTAAGAATCAACTTTGGATTTGCAGTCTCTCATTGTCACTTCTTTCTCCATCAGATCAATTTCTACTGTGGCATTTTCATGCTGTCCTGCATCAGTCTTGACCGCTACCTGTCCATCGTCCACGCAGTGCAGATGTATTCTCGTAAAAAGCCAATGGTGACTCACTGTTGCTGCCTGATGGTCTGGCTCTTCTGCCTTCTGCTCTCCATTCCTGATTGGAAATTCCTTGTGGCCACTGAGGACTCCAGACGTCAGGATAAAACACAATGTGTTCCAGATTACCAGTCTGGTTCTTGGCTTCTGGTCACTCGGCTGCTCTACCATATTTTGGGTTTCATTCTTCCAGCACTAATAATGCTGTTCTGTTACTCTTGCATACTGCTGCGGCTGCGGCGTGGCTCCCAGTGCATGCAGAAGAAGAGGGCCATCCGTGTCATCATAGCCCTGGTACTGGCCTTCTTCATCAGCTGGACGCCCTACAACATCACCCTTATTGTTGACACCATACAAACCAACTGGACCCTCAATACCAGTAACCAAACATCCTGTGAAAGTGCCACAGCACTAGATGTAGCTCTCACAGCTACTTCAACATTGGGCTACTTACACTGCTGTGTCAACCCAGTGCTTTACGCTTTTGTGGGGGTGAAATTTCGCCAGCACCTGCTGGACATGCTGAGACCACTGGGCTTCACGCTGAAGGTCCCAGCAGGTCTGGTGTCACGGAAGAGCTCTGTATGGTCAGAGTCAGTGGACACCTCACACACGTCTGCTTTCTGAAACAATCACACTGATATATGTACAATCAGTCAGCATGTCATCTTTTTATGCAAACTTTAACATCTGTATCAGTCAGAGGAGTTTGGCTTTAATTATGCAAGCATTGCCGTTCACACCAAGGATGATGACTATAACAATAACTAGTCTTAATAATCATTATAATTGTATGAGAGTACTGAAGTCCACACCACCAATCATTGGAATCACTTTAAAAATGATTTTCTAGTTGATGAATGAGAAAAAACTTTGACTGCCAATCAGAATTCATGCAACTTTAAAGAGCTTGAGCATTTAAAGCTGCAGACGACAAAACTGTAGTGCACATTTATAATAAATTTCATTGTTCATTGGTGTGGACACTAATAGTTATCTTCATAGTTATCCTTATATTTATCGTTCTTGGAGTGAACAGATCTTAAGTCTCATGACAGTGCTTTTTAGTATGCACATGAATATAGAGCAGTCTTGTTTAATCTTACTTTCAGATATTTCTCTTTGCACATGTGACAGCTACTGTAATTTCTCAACTGTTTTGCATTTCTCAAGCATACTGACTCCTTACAGCTCACACATTTTAGGGAGAGATAAAAAGTTTATATTTTTGCCATGGCAGTTTTTTCCAATAAATCAGACTTTTGCCAGAAAATTTTTCTATTTTACTATTATACATTGTTATTGTGTGTATTGTCTAATGTGTTCCTGCATGATTTTGTTTGTTAATTGGCTTTTTTGTGATGTTATGGTGTATTTTTTTTTAATCTTGATTTGCTGTAAATACATTTTCGAAACATCCTTGTACTTGCACCAGGAATATTGCTTTAAAGGGTTAGTTCACCCAAAAATGAAAATTAGTCTGTGTTTTACTCACCCTCAAATCATCCTGTATGTGACTTTCTTCTTTCAGACGAATCCAATCGGAGTTATATAAAAAAGAATAAAGGCCTCCTGTAGCGAATCCATGCATTTTTGTAAGATAAATATCCATATTTCAAACATAATAAACACTTTTTTCTCTACTGGTTAATGCTTTTTCATATTTAGTAAAATGATTAAAAATGAGATAGTAATAAGTTACTGCTGTGGATATTCCAAATCATAGCAACCAAAGCATCTCAGCTGGAAAAACACTGTGCCACCAACGTGTTTCCAGCGTCACCAGCAGGTCGTTTTAAGAAAAGCGCCTGCCATTTTTTCAGCTTGCTAAAAACTCTTTGGTGGACACACGTTATTGAATATTTATTGTTAGGCATATGGCCTATTAGTCTTTTTTGCATTTATGCAATATACTGGAGCCAAACTTGAGAAAGTAGACCAGAATATTCCACTGCGTTCCTGGACACGCAATTTGCTTAGCTGTAATTCATAGGCGGGGATTATGCTAATTGTGAATGAGCGTGCACACGCGCCCTATTTACGAATTATTGGGATTCATTAACATACATGTTTAAATATCACATCGGATGTTTATGAAGCATTTGTGAATCCAGAGGAGAGTTTTCGGGAAGGTCTGTTTTACGTGCAAATTACTCCAAATTTACTCATATATTTACTCAAGTTTCATGAATGAGGTCCAATGTGTGCATTGCAGCAGGGTACATTAACCTGCTCAAAGAGGCCACCTCCACTAGGGAACATTATTGTCATGAAGGGGTGTACCTGGTCTGCAACAATGTTTAGGTAGGTAGCACATGTCAAATTTATGTCCACATGAATGGCCAGGGTTTCTCAGCTAAACATTGCCCAGTGCATCACACTCCCTCCACTGGCTTTTCGTTATCTCACTATGCATCCTGGTGCCATCACGTCCCCAGGTAAAAGGCGCACACATACAGTACAGCTGTCCATGTGATGTAAAAGAAAACTGGACTCAACATATGAGGCGACCTTCTACCACCACTCCAATGTCCAGGTCTGACGCTCAAGTGCCCATTGTAGGCGCTTTCAATGAGGGACATGGTCATTGTAGGCACTCTGATTGGTCTGCGGCTACACAGCCCCATACGCAGCAGAGGGCGATGCACTGTGTTATGACACATTCCTCCCATAACTATCATTAAAATTTTGTGTGACTTGTGCCACAGTAGACCTTCTGTTGGCTCAGACCAGACGGGATAGCCTTTGTTGCCTCATGCATCAATGAGCCTTGGGCGCCCACCCTCGCTGCCACTGCTGACCATGAGCAACCCACTAGCAATCTGCTCAATCTTAATTCCTACCCATTTCTCCTGCATCCAACAAATTATGACAACTGATCGTTTGCTTACCATCTAATCTACCCAGACCTTAATATGTGGCCTTATTAGGATCAACAATATTTACTTGTATTTGTACTGTTTTAATAATGCTTAAAATGCTCTGTAGACTTTCCAGTAGGAGAACAAATGCCAGTGTTCAACTCCTGCTCACAGGCACTGTATGTGAAATATAGATACAAGGTAATTGAGGGTGTTTTTTAAACGACTAAAACACAGCTACAAATCTTTTCTCCTGGTTGTTCATAACTGGAATTTGAAGTAGCTCTATTACACAGCACAACGAAGTAGGATATTGCAATAAACACATTTAAACCGGACAAAACTTTTAGCCAAATTAAACATTGATAGAACCCCAAAAATCAAGAAAAACCACGTTGGACAGTCAAATCACGTGGTCTCGCGAATCCAGCTGCTTCGCATCTGAAATGTTTGTGGTGTGATTACACTGCATGCATCTGCAGCGCATTACAGCTCCGACGAGGTTTTGTTCCGTCCTCCACGCGGTGCCAACTCACACCAGGAGCATTTCATAAGTGAAGCGACAGGATTCGCGAGACCACTTGATTTGCCTGTCCGCTGTTCTTTTTCTTAATTTTTTGTGTTGTAACATGCTTGGCTAAATGTTTATGTTTTGTCTGGTTTAATTCTGTTTATTCCACTCTTACGACTCCGGTGGCCATGTCAGAGCCGTAACACGCCGCAGACGTGTGCAGTGAAAATGAGGTATCAGACATGTGAAAAAAAAAAAAAACACTCAACAATTTCTGTTTCATAAGAGGAACTGGGGAGGGTGAGGCACATGTGATTATTTCTGTGTGCTTGTAACAATAACAGGGTCAAAGCCACAACTTCACTATCAAGCAATTTAAATTCACTGGAGTGGATCGTGTGGTGGTTCCAAAAAAAATTATAAATAAATGTGTAAAACTAAGAAAAATAGCAAATAAATTATATTACAGTAACAATGTAAAACAAGTGAATGCATTTTTCGAATTCAATTAAATTAAATTCAAGTTTATTTGTATATATATTGTATAGCGCTTTTCACGATACAAATCGTTTGCAAAGCAACTTTACAGAAAATTAAGTTTCTACAATATATTTAGTAGTAGCTTATTTTTGACTGTAGGGGTGTCCAGCTGCTTCTGAAGAGCCACTGTCCTGTAGAATTTAGCTCCAATCCCAATTAAACACACCTGAAGGTCTTAGGCATACTAGAAACTTCCAGAATCAGGGTATCTTCCATTCATTAGTTTTTTTATTTAATATTGAAATCAGAAAAATGAAAAAACGGCACATTTTCCGTTTTTGATTCGTTTTGATTTAAAACGAAAAATCAAGAATTAGCCTTTTTCACAAAAATCGGAAATTATGTCAGTGCAGGGTAAAGTTAGTTCCGTTGCAGGTCTGCTTCTATTATATTAAATCCGTGTATCATTCGATCATTCGTTTTTTGATTTAATATTGAAAGTAGAAAAATTAGAAAACGGCTCCTTTTTCATTTTTTTTCCAAAAAACGAGAAACGAGAATTCATCTTAAATTTTCGTTTTTCGTTCATGGGTGGAAAAATGAATAAACAGCTTGATTTTTCGATTTCTACACGTGGGCGGGAATTAAACACCTCTTTCTGCTGATTGGTCAGCCGAAGATTAAACCGTGCCATCATCAGTTCTTCTGCAGTATCACGCAGCAGAATAATAGTCCTCCACTGCTGCAGTTGTATTGATTCTTAACACATTTATTGCAACTACATTTCATCTTTTTTCATCAAACAAACAGGCTAATGAATAGCTCGACACAACTC